TTTTTTTTTTCAAGAGGCGGCTGGACTTTCTTGTTTTTCTTTGAAGACGTTTCGCTTCTCATCCAAGAAGCTTCTTCGGCTCTGACTGAAGAAAAAAAGAAACTGTATTAAACAGGAAGGAGAGAGAGAGAGAGAGAGAGAGAGAGAGAGAGAGAGAAGAGGGAGAGAAGAGGGAGAGAAAAGAGAGCGAGGGAGAGAGAGAAAAGAGGGAGAGAAAAGAGGGAGAAAAGAGAGAGAGAGAAAAGAGAGAGAGAGAGAGAGAGAAGAGGGAGAGAAAAGAGAGAGAGAGGGAGAGAGAGAAAAGAGGGAGAGAAAAGAGGGAGAAAAGAGAGAGAGAGAGAGAGAGAGAGAGAGAAGAGAGAGAGAGAAAAAGAGAGAGAGAGAAAAAAAAGAGGGAGAGAAAAGAGAGAGAAAGAGAGAAAAGAGAGAAAAAAGAGGGAGAGAAAAGAGAGAGAGAGAAAAGAGAGAGATAGAAAAAAAGAGAGAGAAAAAGGGAGAGAAAAGAAAGAAAAAAGAGGGAGAGAAAAGAGAGAGAGAAAAAAAAAGAGGGAGAGAAAAAGAGAGAGAAAAAAAGGGAGAGAAAAGAGAGAGAGAGAGCGAGAGAGAAAAGAGGGAGAGAAGAGAGAGAGAGAGAGAAAAGAGGGAGAGAGAGAGAAAAAAGAGGGAGAGAAAAAGAGAGAGAGAGAAAAAAAAGAGGGAGAAAAGAGGGAGAGAGAGAGAGAGAGAGAGCGCGCTTTGTCAAAGCCGGACCCGCCGCTTCTTAAGTTTAAAGCGACCCCTTTCCTCTGCCTGCCCCCGCGGGGGCTTGAGGGGTCCTGGGTCTAGCCGGGAAGGGACCCCCGCCGAAGGAGACGCGGGGCTTCTTCCCAGCGCGCAGATCCGCGCGGCCGCGGGGTTTTTCCCCTTAGAGGAGCGCAAAGGGTCGGCGCTTAATTCGGCCTGGGCTTTGTCTCTTTCCACCGCCGTCCCCCCCCCGACCCCCCCCCCCAGCCTCGATGCGGCCCTTCGCGCAGGGGGCAGGAGACGGCCGACCTTCTCCGAGCCGATCTGAGAAATGTCTCGGTTCGGGATGGTGGTTCTCCAAAAGGCCACCGCCAGGCCCGGTGGGTGGGTTGGGGGTGCGTGGCTGGGGGTCTTCCTTGAGAAAGCAAAGGCTTGAAATCGGGGGGGACGCGGTGTGGGGGGACTGATCGGGACAGTTCGGGCAGATTGAAATGTCCCTGGTAACGTTGGAATCCGGAGCCGGGTTCTCTAGTCAGCGTCTCCGCTAAAGTGAAGGGTCTTCGCGGGTCTCTCGAGGCAAGCGGACCCATTCCGAAGAAATCATCACAATAATAGGAACAATAACACACACATTTTTCTTTCCGCTTCGCACCTGCCGCGAACCCCCCCCCCCTGCGCGCCCACCTTCATGCACCTTGGAGGGGGGACATTGGCACCCAAAAATGGCTTCCAGTGTCTCTCCCCCACATACACACACACACACACACACACACACACACACACACACACAAAGGATCCAATCCCCCTTCCCAAATTGACTACTAGGTGGCTGTTTCGCGGCTGCCACAACAGAGGCAGCCCAGACCTCCTGGCCCGCAAGTTGCGTTTAGCCACAAAACC